AGAGTCCTTGAAATGATGACATATGGCCAAAATTAAATTGCTTCTTCTTCACACATCGTTTTCGCGTGTCAACACGACAACAGTTTTCTCTCCTTCTTTTTTTATTATTAATATTTAATACTCCTCCGATCTTTAATATAAGATCTATTTAACTAATTTGATTAGATCAAGAAAGTTAGATAAGTTAGTTAGTTATAAAAATTGTGACACGTTTTTTCTAAAACACCATAATTATTTCTTAATACCCCTCTCTCTTTTCTACTTGATTATGGTAGGAGTATCCATAGGGGTAATTTAAAGAAAATTGATAAATATGAGAGATAGATCTTATATTTAGGACCAAAACCATCTCAACAATTGGGTCATATATTAAGGACTGGTGGAGTACTTTTTTTAAATAAGCAACAACTATTATTTTTTCTTATTTTTAAATATAAGCAATATTTATAAGTTTTCTTAAATTTTTTTAAACAATTTCCTATTTTGCTTTCATTAATTACTTATTTTACTCAATATATTTATTATTTCATTTATCAAACCATCATCTCTTCATCATACATGATTTCTCTTTTATAATTCTTTTTATTATAATAATTTTCTTATTCTCTTTTTTATACTCTCTCCTCTCATAAATAAGGACAGTTTAGAAAAAACTTCTAATTTTTATATATTTATTATCTTTAATCAGTTTTAACTAACATTTTGAGTTAGGTGATAAGTTTCAATATTACTCCTCCGGTCCTAAATATAAGACCCTGTATATTTAAGGCAAGAGTATTTATAAAAAGCGAGAGAGGGAGTATTTAACACACACAGTATTACTCACACGTCCTACTTTAACGTGCCGCTAAGTTCCTCTCACTGCTAGTTTTCCCTGCAGTTGCGTACGTGTCCTAAGAATCACTGAGCAAGAGAATGGCGAAAGAAACTGAATTCTTTTATAAAACAAAAAAAAAAAACTATTTTTTCTACGTAGTATGAGATGGATAACAATTCTAGGAAATACAGTTTGAAATTTTGGGACATAAAAGAATGGAGTAACGTAGGCGGGACGATGCCCAGATTGGAAGTTTGGGTTGGGACAAGCAAATAAGATAATTATTTTCTTAAAGAAAATATGGGAAGGCAGGGGAAAAATTTTAAAAATAAAGTGACAGTAATATCTTCCTTGACAAAAGGTAAAGCTCATGGCTTATTATTTAGGGCTAGATACAAGATGTGCGTTTTTCCTCAGGTCGAAGGACATATATAATTGAGATGCTTAACATTTTTGCTTTGCCGTTGTTTGTCTTCAATTTGCGTTCGTTTAAGATAACATTTTGTTCTTCATACAAACTGTAATCAAGATTGCAATCCCAGGAAACTCATCAACAATCATTGAAGATTGAACTTAAGTTACTCCATGTCATGTATGAAATATAATATGTGTGTGTGCGCGCTTGTGTATTTGAACTCTCTGTATATTTGAACTCACCGCAGTTATCCCACCTTAAACTTCAATCTGCCAAGTTTAAATAAATAAATAATTAAACATCAATCAGCCACAAACTAGAAGCTACGCCACAGACTTTTGAGACCACGCTTGGAAGTGGTCCATTATTAATTTTTTTCAACGCATAATAAAAAAAATAAAACAAAAAGAGTTAATATTCTCGAGCGTCACAAATTGCAACGTGGACTGTTGCGTCTGCTGCCAGGCATATGTTTCCCCATCACGGGCGTGTCCCTGGACAAGAAACCTCCCCCGTCTTGCCATCCTCTTGAATGGTTCGTATGAGGACTAATCAAAAATCGATTTGGATTTGTTTATTTATTTAATAAATAGCGGTAATTGTGTAATATGTCTGTGTGATTGTTAAAAATCAAAAACCAAAATGAAAAAAAACTCCAGTGTGGGGTTGCTTAATACGGTAATACAGGACCATAACCTCTAAGCTTGAAACAGCCTAAATTTATATGAACTTCTTCAGGCAAATTTAGCAAGGCTTATAAGCAGGATGCAGTTTTTGTGGTTTGCTAACTTTAATTTGTTCATATAATTTAACCTATCAGTTGAAACTGGTAGGTTCTTCTTTATCGACACAGAAAGTAGCGTCACGATAACACTAGTTTTTTTTTTTTTTTTTGCCTCTTTCAGTATAGATCCTATGCTGGTTGCTCCCTTTATTCTTTAGGTTGATATTGTCCTTTATTAAATGCAATCCTCTGCATCCAAGATTGCCGCCTGATCTGTTTAGGTTTAATAGGGATAATCTCTACTATGAAATCGCAGGAAATGCAAATCCAAACACTCCTAAATGCTGGTGGCTGGTTAATTGTCAGGCTTAACATGAACACGCAATAACTTTTGCAATGTGAACGATAATTACATCTTCAAGATCCACAGAAAGATTTATAATTTGCCAACGATTTCCGTTATTTAATTTTCACTAGCCAACCTTTCAAGCTATTTGTACTGTGGGATCTGTTTCTTCCTCTTTTTAACTCAACGGCTGCCATATTCTTCCTTTTACTTTTCCTCTAATATAGTAGTAGTACTTTAATCTTCTTGTCCTGGACATAAAAAGAATAACATACTTTTCTTAGAGGCCTGTCTTGCTTGTAGGTGGCATCACGGAATAGTTGTGGAACTTCTTTCCATGTTCTCAGGATTAAATAATATGATGCAGAGAAAAGGAGGTGGAGTGCGGGAGGCGAAAGTGAAAGATCCAGAGCAGCTTCATGGCTCATAAGTGGACACGTGTGCAATGAAACAGTACACGTGTTGAGTGGCATGTGCGGCGCATGGAAAGGGTTCTGCATATTTGTGCCCAGTGAATGCATTCTAAGTTCATTAGATGCTTTTTGGCACATTATATATTTATAATGTTAGTAGTTTGTTTATCAGCGGTGATGATTCTCTCCATTCTGGGGCACACACCACGTGTTTCCATCAGCTCCTCCAAAGACCAAAACGCTCTCGTCCGATGTGCGCCACCACACACACAGGGACAATAATAGTACTATTCCATGAGTTTGCACATGAAGGATCCCATTTTATAATGCATGTATCAAATGTGAAGCCGGAGCCACTCTCTTGTTCTTAACATTCTTTTTTTAAACACACACATATTCAATGAATTTGTATTGTTATTTTGGCCCGATGAACAAACCCATATCTATAATTTAATGCAGTATACATATATAAATAAAACAGCTTTGCGGGGAGAGAATCCTCGCAACATTTTCTTTTTTGGCCCCACTATTCAATATTCCTTCCAACTTATGCAAATTTATTCCAAGTTATTTATAACATGTATATATATATGATTTTATTCCACGTTGGCGTTCGTCAGACAGGTGTTTCGTTATTGGGGGGAAAAAAAGAGAGAGGTGTTTAATTAACTGGAACTCATTGCGAAAATGAAATCTCAGGGGCAATGCTGGGGGAATATAAAGCTATATAAGCGGCAAATTAAATAAGCAAACACAGCGAGTGGGATTGAGATACAGGCTTCAGAAACAATCTCAAGAGGACAGGAACATGCGACATAAAAACGAGTTTATAGCCACAAATATTCCGGCAATTCTGGAAGACGTTGATTAAATTAAGTAAAATGAATTGGTCCACTGAGGGGCAATGCAAATGTAAGAATCTTAAAGAATGTATTAGTTCTAATTCTTTGGTTATTATAAGTCCACCTTGTATCTGCAGTGTTCCTCGTTAATTTGGCAGCTAGCATGCGTAAAAGAACCTTAATTAAACGATGTGATCTATATATATAAGGCGGCCATGTGGCTTACAGCAAATACGACATAAAAAAAATCCAACCACTTGAGTTTTTCCTATTCTCCATTATCGAGTGCACATCAAGCACACTTGCGCCTAATCCTCCAAAATCTCAGTTCTCAACTTGGAATATCACATTCGCCAAAATATCTTGCAACATCACATTCTCAGTCTCCTTTTTGCGGAACAACACATAATTCGCTTTATACCCATCAATATTTGTTCCCTAGGCAAATACAAAATACATAAGTTAGGGATATTATTACTTATTTCGGATCTATACACATGCACGGAGCCTATTGCAGTGTCGCTAATTTTAGTGCCTGAATAAGTTATATTTTCTTTGGTTTTAATTCTTTCAATAGTTGGAGTGTCCTGAACTAATCAAGTCAAGATTCCCAGCTCAGTAAGTTGCCCCTGAGGCTCTTTTTCCAAAGCCCATAATAAGATGTATGGGCTTACTGCTTTTGGGGGCACTCTTATTGAGTTGTCAAAGGCCCATAATTAAGGCACGTATGGGCTGGTGATTAATAATTGCTGTTGGCAAAAGGGAAAAAAAGATTAATAATTGCTAAAGGACCAAAGTTTTATGGTCAGGCTTATGGAAAGAGGACGTCACCGTTTATCACAGGTCTATTGTGAAGTTCAGTAAATATGTCACACTCAACTGCATTGTTTACGTAGTTCCAGTTCGAGCATTGAAAAATGAAAACCAGTGTTGCCTATGAGCGGTGGACTCGAAAACCAAAGCACTATATGGAGAAAAGGAGAGGGCATCAGGAAGAACTGAAGAAGTGGTTGGAATCAAGGTGGCGTGACTTTGTGAGGATACCGTCCCAGCTTTCTTTTGCTTCAGTGGGCATTGATCCAGTGATCTCTGTACCTAATAAAACTCATGAAATATCTACACGAATCATGTAATTTCAATGCCTAAGCAAAAGCAAGATGCTCATACAAATATCCCAACATGATATACAGCTAGCTACCCACCCAACAGAAAAAAGAAAAATTATCAAACCAAACAAACACGTACTAATTCACTAGCCAACCAGACACGCATATATATTCAACATGCTAGCTTATACACACACACACCCCCTATCTCCCTCTCTTTCCTCGTAATAATATCGCATGGTCTTGTATTATTATATTGATTGGGCAAAATTGGTCCACACGATATAGCACCACAATCTGTTACACCTAACGTAATATGCCCCTCATTAAAAAACGTCAACATGTGACTGTGATTGTCTTTTCCTTCGCCCGTATCTTGCCGCTGAAATTTAGGGCACCCCCCCAATCCTCCCATTTGACTTTGCTTCAATTCATCAACTTCCCTTCCGTTTCAGCCATTAATGCTTCCTTGGGAGGTCGTTTTTCAGGAAACAAGCCAGCCCAATCACACTTAAAAATAAACTATGCCCCAACAAATAGTGCACATATCATAGAAGTGACTCATACCAAAACATAAAGAGAGCCAATGGCTCCCTAGAGGTTAGATTTATTTGGGCGGTTGCGTTAGATTTATCCGAATAAAGTGTGATAAGAAAGGAGTGGCCGCATTATTTAGCAGCGAGGGCGTTGCAGAAACATTATATAGAGAGAAGAGATGGGTCCATGACGAGACAAGAGAGGCCAGTGATGAAGTCGAGGGGCAACATACGTACGTGGATGGTAAATCCGAGAAAGTTGGTTCAAGTGGTCTCACAAAGGTATCGGAATTAGAGGGATCACACTGCAAAGTGCCAGTGATGTTATTGCCGTTGAAGACAACTTTTGACGTGGTCGTTACAGCTCTGCGTGTCTGCCATTGTTGGTTTAATCAAGCACCTTTATTAATATTATAGCCTTAGCATGCAAATCGAATAATAACCCATTTCCACTATGGAACTCACTCACACTACTCCTTCACGTACATTCACCACACATGCTTCCCTCAAATGGGCAAATCTGAAAGCAACGTTTCGTCGAGACGTATGATCAAGTAGTGGGCCGATTCCTCTATCAGTTAAAACACCCCATTTATGTGTTTATATTATTCTTGGGTGAGTGCATTATTATATATCGAGAGGATTGTGTTTTTATTCCTTTAATTTGATTACAGTACATTGAAGTCATACCCAGATTCAAAATGAACAGATACATTTAAGAGGATGTATTAATGTGACGGATGAGGTCAGTGCGTGTGGTTCCCATCGGAAAATAAAGAGGAGGTTCAGGAAGTTAGGAACGGTGTCGTGTTGTTATCATTGAAACTAAAACAGCGACATGTGTGAGTGTCATCATAACAAGAAGACGCCTTCATACACCTGTCTTCAACTTGCCACTTCTTGGAAACAAGCCTCCAATGAAGGCAACTCCTTCTCTCTTTTTTTCTTGCCCTTTTATTTTATTTTCCTTTTCTATATGCTTTGCTTGTCTCCCACAGCTTAATATGTACAGCTCCTCTCCCACCTGTCATAACATAATTTTACATCAAATTAACAAACCAGGATGACCAATTTTATAATGATCATCTCTCTGGTCATTTTCATGGCTTCCTTTTAATTTATTTCCCTCCCTCCCTCCCTCCCCCCTTCTTGGGTTTTAATCATTGTCCTTGTGTCATCATGCCTGTGCTTCAAATTTAGCTGCAAACATTAATTTTCTTATGTTTTTACCTCTTCTGGTCTGTCCCATCCAATTCCATGAATACACGTCCTTTTTATGGTGAAAACTTTGAACGCAGCTTCACCGCCAAGTGTCCCGTAAGTTAACATCACGTCACTACGTGCTCAATTATGAAACTCGTCTCAGCTTTAAAAAGTCGTTCAAAGTCCCGGGTAATTTGGCCCTATAGTATGGTGAGGGCGGTTAATTAATTAATTGATTAATTAGTTAACATATATATAAACATATAACTCATGATGAAAATGTAAATTCGGATCGTAAACTTAAATCATAAAAATTTATTTTTATTAATAAATTTATATCAAAAGTATATAATTAATAATTAAAATATAAAAAACAACGACAATTTCTTTTAAATATATTTTAAATCCAAATAATTGAAATTAAGTCCATTGACATTCACAATTTACCATATTCAACAGTAAATTTTTATAAAATTTATATATAAAGTCACTAAATATAATTAAATCAATAAATTTAATACGAGTTTAAGAGTGAGTTGACATGATTTTATAAGCTAAAAATGTAAATATGATAAATTTAGTTAGTAAACTTGTAAATTTAAATGAGCTTACAACTAGCATGAATTTAAAAAGGAATTAATACGTTTTTGTAAGATTACTTAGAGAATTAATTGTGAGTTTGACAATAATGCTTGTATTTTCATGAATAATCAAATGGTTGATGTCCTTTTGGGAAGATTACTGGAAAGCCATATAATTTATAATCTTATGTTCATTTATTGAATTCGGTTCTATTTGTTATTCTGCTCTCTTCTAGAAATAAGCATATATAATTGAATCGCTTTATTTACTAACCCAGAGGGGGAAGAATCTGACAGGGACTTGATTAGATAGCCAAATTGATAATAATAAAAATTTGCCTCCCTTAGAAAACGGCTTAATGAAAAGATCAGATCATCGATTTCAAGAATACAACTTTGCAAAAGTGAATCATGATTCCCCCTGAAATGAAAGGAATCTGGTATTCCCTCCGTCCATTCATGACACCTCCTCTCTCTATAATTCACCTTTTTTTTTTTTCATCTGCAAAACTTTAACTCAGATTAATAGAAACGCAGAGTGTATCTGCATAACAATATTCTCCACGGAAGTGAAACTTTTCTTTTCTTGTTCTTTCTTGTTCTCCCGTCTTCCTATATTCAAAAATGATATGTTTTCCTTTCTCATAACGGAATTGAAAAGCCAAGAGTGCATAGAATAGTAATAGAAATCGTAGACTGCAAAAGTAGACAAAGTGGAGCGTGAACATGTGACGACAATGAGATTCTGGTATGCGGAATTATATATATACGACTCAGCGCTGTGCATTGGGAATCACGTGAGAGGAAAAAGAAATTAGATACGCTTAAGATACCTCCCTGTTTTAACCACTCCTTTTTAATGAGACATAACACTCTTGATAGAAGCTGGATTCGTGATCCAACTCCTCTTAATTCACGTAGTATATTGGATCTGTAGTATGTATATACAAATATATATATATAAATACTAATTACTAGTAGTATATATTATCGATGATTTATTTTTTCGAAGGAAGCATCATTTATTGCCATTGCGTTGGCCGAAGAACATTGAGGGGGTCTTCACCAATTATGGACGGGATCAATGATATTTTCCCGGGGGCAATCACTGACCCAATGGGCTTTTAAGGTTGAATCTGCTATCAGCGTAGTATTGGGTTTCTTATATGAAGGTTTTGACCATTGCCTGGGGATTCCAAGTTTTTGTCATCGTTCCGTCAAAAATAAGTAATTTTTGACATACGAAAAAAAGATGAACGTGTCGTTACAAAGGAATGTTATGCTGTTAGACTTGATGAAATACAATGGTTGGTGGATTATAAGATCCTAAATATGGCAAACCTTTTTTTTTTTCCCAAATATATGTATTGAGAGGGTCTGAACTTTTGACCCCTGTTTATATATTATCTCACTCTTATTTTTGAACTAGTTTGGCTACGCATGGTAAAATATTTTAATGAAGACATCAATAAAAAAAATGATACTAAAAATTTTTAAATTATTACTGTTGTCGAGCATTCCGACTCGAAAAAACCCTTTTCTGAAAAATAACTGAGCACTACCATCATTATATTACCATCTACGTTTTTTAATATGTTGAGTGAAAGATCTTCATCGATGCCAGTTTTGCAGGCGACGAAGAATTCTGGAGCAGACTGGGAATTTTTGTGATTTTGAGTAGCCCTTTTCAACTCAACTTACCAGAGAAACTGTAATTTTGTGATTTTCTCGAGTACTTGACAACAGTAAGGCGAAGTTATGACAATAGATTAACTGGAGAATGTAAATAGAATGACAAAAGGATATTACACTGCACGAAGACTATTCCAATATTTTGCATTATAGAATTTTCACATGCAAACGACAGATTTTGGTTCTTAATTATGATATATCTATGCGTCTTCCATAAGCCATACTCCGAAAACAAAAACTGGGAAGGGAAAGGTATAGGCAAAAATGTGCATTGCTTATGACTTGAGATTCCCCATGCAAATCTCAGCTGAAAGGAAAAACCCACAAATCCTTGCCTACCAAATCATCAATCATCAATCCAGAGTTCATTAAAATTATGAGCACACGCTACCGTTGCCACCCATCGGTGGAGCCAGTACAATGTAGAATGCCTTTGGGTAAAGTTTTGTAAGAAGAAATGCTAACACTTAATTGTGTTCACACATCCATGTAACCTAGTATTTATTACAACTCGTAACTTGGAACTCAAACTATAAATTAGCCCTCAAATAAATTATCTTGTCTGTGGAACGCCGAGCTTTGCATGTTCATGTCACGTGCATGAAATGAACTGAGCACCTCCACTTAATAATTCTGATGCAACTTATGCAACACTTAGACATCTATATTGAAGATTATATTATTACCTTCCATAACAATGTAGAATTAGAAAACCAGTGAGACCGACAAATTATATATAATGAAATGAAAGAATATGATTGAATTTCCAAAACCAAGAGCCAGTACAAGGGGGGGAAAAGAGAAGCGGCCATGTACAACACCTCCAGGTTACTCTACTCCAAGAGGGGAATTCAAAAGTAAATACAAAAAAAGAAAGGCATTTCTCAAGCCTCAGATCAGAGACGGCTAAGATAATCTTAATCCAAACCTTGGTTTTAAGGGGGACGAAAAAGATTAATTTTATTAATATATATTTATATATAATTTTAATTTTCAGTTGGGCCTCTTACCGGGCCATTGGTATGGACATGGATTGGATGTGCGCAAAGAGGATTAGGGGCTAAGAGAGGAAGACTTCAACGGTTGAATTGATGACGGTGAGGCAGACGGGACACGCTCGGAAATGCGCGTCGCATTCCGTGCAGATGCATAAGTGCCGACACGGCAATGCCACCACCGATGCCGCTCGCTTCCCACAGCCTCTGCATTTGGGTCCCGATGCCACGACTCGGTCCGGGTCAATATACGCTGACTCGGCGTCCTCCGGTTGGCCCTCCCCACCCACTGCACAAGACAGCCCTCCGTCCTCCGCGAAACACCCTCCCCCTTTATCCTGCGCACCACCGCTCATCATAGCCTGTTGCAGTTGCGCTTGCAGAGACGCCGCCGTTGCCTCCTGTGCCTTTGCCTTTGCCTGCCAAACCTGGGCCTCCACGCTAAGTTGCGCCGCGCGCGCTTCTAACTCGGCATTTCTGCGCGTTGCCTTTTCCATCTCAACCTCCTTCTCTCTTAACCGCCGGGCCACCGATTCTTCCGCCACGCTTAGAAGTGCACGATAATGCCTCTGTCTCTTCTCGGCTAATGTTCGTCGCAATTGTTCTCCCTGTTGTTCCGACAAGATATCTATCGTTTATTCCCCCCCCCTTTTTAATATCGTGCAAAAAACTAAACACTTGAACAGGAACAGAATATAAATACTGTACCTGGGCTTGGAGAAATTGATCAATCTCATCACGCTGTTGTTTGATCTGGGAGGCAAATCCTTCAGGTAATAGAGATAAGAAAGCATAGGGCTGACAGGCTTGTTGATGTTGTTGCTGGCGTTGTTGCTGTAGTTGCAGTCTTTGTTGCTGTTGATGGTCGCCGAAGGATAATCGGAGGCCGGTGGAGACCACATTTGGTTGGTGATTATGGAGCTGAGAGAGTTCTACGAGCTGAGGAGGCTGGGATTGCAAAGAGAAGGGATTAAGACCGTTAGGAGTTGTTTGGGCGACGCAGGTGGCTGCCGTTGCTTCTCTGCCTCTCTTGCGAGAATTAGTACCTGCTAATTTTGCACGCAGGCAATTTTCAGATTGGCGTTCAATGAACACTTCTCAACATATCTTTGGTTTCAATTCAATGGCATATAAACCAATAAGCCCTCCATAGAAATACAGTTTTGACAGGACATACCTCCATTGTTGAACAAGATATGAGACTGATCAAGAAGCCCTCCCGGTTGTGGCTGTAACGAATAATCATGTCCTTCCTGTTCGTTTCTGTTATCAGAATGGAATAATAATTTTAAAAAAAAAAACCATTAGTCTTCAGAATCAATGGCATAGAGGTATGAGGAGAACAGCCGGGTCGAACCAGAAAGTAAGTACGAAAGCAAACCTGTTGAGGAGGAGAATATTGGATGGGTATTGAGCTTGGACGGCCATGGGAGTTGAGAAGATGAAGCAGAGGAAGAACGGAAGAACGGAAAAGGGTGAGAGAAATAATGTGAAGGAGAGGAAGAAGCGGGCTCTATAAGGAGAAGGCGGAGTGTTCAATGCGGGAGGACAAGGAAGACATTATTGAGAAGAGAAGGAATCAGAGACGAAAGAAATTATGGAATCACCACCACAACCGTTGGGTCACTTGGTTATCACCTACACTTTTCTTCCTCTTCTGGGTTTGGCCTTCGAATACGAGATAGGAGAGAGAAGATATATAGATATAGAGAGAAAGAGAGGGAGGGAGGGAGGGGGAAGGGAGAAGGAGATAGATGCTGCGATTGAAGCGAATCAGTCCAAGAGAGAGGCACCTTATTCTGCTCTTTCTCTCTTGTTGCTGCCCTCTCTTATTAGTCTTCGCGTGGGGTTTGGCTTTTCTTATGAACAAGTCTCGTGGTTTGTTATATAGTATTTGCTTTTGCTTACCCCAATATTCATATTTTAAATTTAATTTAATTCTATTATACGTAGGTGGGAAATAGCAGTGGAGTGTGTAGTGTGTTTATATATAGACAATGTCTGGTTCATAACATTTAATTACAGAAACAGTGCATTAATAGGGAATGAAAGAGCTGGTAAATTGCTTACAGGCCTTTCCTTTCCTTCTCTGTTCTCTCTCATTTTCCTTTTACCCAATCCATACCTTTATTTACAATGGCATCAATATGCAAAACTTGTGGTATTATGTAATTTACTCTTTCCATTTAATTTTAAAGGTAATTATTAGATTGGATACATTTATTCAGCAGGGGCAAAAAGAGCAGGGGGAAAAAAAAAATCTCTCCATATATTCCTCCGGTCAACAAAGATATTAACAGGGACATGCTGTACAAAACACAACTGACATCTTGGAGATGATTTTTAGTTAACTTTTAAAATTAAAGAGAGTGTATTACACTTTCCCCTAAAATAAGAAAATTCTTCGCATGGAGGGTATAACAAACATCAATTTAGTTTCTCCAAACAAGAAGAAAGATTTAAATTCTTAACATTCATATCATTTTATTCAGCAAAATTATATTTGAATCTCTTTACAATCATTGTCACAATCTTGAAGAAAAAAATATTCTTATTGGAGGATATTTTTGAAAAATATTTAAGGAATTATATCTATTTTTGGTTGCGTTAATAATTCCATCAACCTGGAATTATACATCCATATACTTCTGTTCAATTCTAAATCCATAGCCAGTCAAGCAAGCATCCCTTGATTATTTCGAAGGTTCAATTCACGCCTTAAATTAAGCGTTGAGATTAATTAGTATTTATAAACTCTAATCTTAACTCATATTAACAAGACAGGTGCTTTCTTTTTTGTCCTGCAACGCATATTTAGACATTCTCCGTTCACAATATGAACGGGTAAGGTTGAATAATTTGTTTTTAATTTCACGATTTTGAATGTTCAAAATCGTAACAGCTGTGTCTCTTGTTGATTATATTCTTACCTTAGACCAAATTAAAAATAAAATAAAATTGAACAGATCTCCAGAATATAATGCGCCTTCATCCATCTAATTCCATAATTGGCTCACAAATTGAATCTAGCTTCCTCTTTATCTGGTAACTTCTTTCAAACCCAACAACGTAATATACTTCACATACCGGACTGTTTCAAATTATCACACAAATAAAACTAACGTAGTACTATAGATTTCAATCCCCACGGACAACGTACGCAAAAAAGCTGACATGAATTGAGAATTAAGAATTAAGAATTAAGAATAATAATAAGAAACTTTCAAACACATGACATAATATGGCCATAACAATATTGGCTATTTTCGGTTTTCCAGATTTTCTTCTAGGTTCGTCTGGCAATACACATATAAAATTAAAGCCCCTTCTATATATAATTTATCTCAAATTTTTATATTCGTCTTATATATGCTGGCTAGGTTGTCCTACCTCAATTAAATCGACAGTTTTTTTCCCTCCTTTCTTTTAATTAATCCCAGAAAATTAAACCTCATGCTTCACGATCCATGCTTAACTTATATATAGTCACATCGCTGTGCAGTCAGAATAGGGTGACCTAATAATGACCAATGCAGTTTCCTGGTGCAGTATGCTTCTGATTATTGTCCTTCGGCGGTGGTAATTTCTTATCCCAACAAGTTAAACCATAAACACATGCATATATATAGATATGCAATGTGCTCTGTGGCACATTGAGAAGAAACGAACTCTAAGCTCGTGAAGAAGTTGCAGTAAGTGAAATGTACAAAAAATATGCAAATTGGAATTTCTGTATTTGTTACTCCTCTGGTCTTATTTATAAAGCGCTTTTATTATATTTCACATAAATCAAAAAATACCTTAAAATGTATTAACTGTCTATTAAAATATAACAACTTTTCAACTTATCCCTATTTAATATATACATCTTTTAAAAAAATAATTATCTATACTAAAATGAATAAAGAACAAAATAGTACATTCATCCTAAAAAATTAATAAAATGACTTGTAAATAGAATGTAAAAAAAAAAAATCTCTTTCTATCTTATATAAAAGAGCAGAAGAGTTTATTTATTTATTTTGCTCTATAAAGAGGGGCGCGCGAAGAGACACACACACATATATATATATATATATATTTCTGAGAGGCTTGATGAGACTGGCGCCAATTAACGTGTAACGCGAAACTCGTTAAACCAAGCATCACGGAAAAAATTTAATACTTTTAGGGGGGAAAACGTAGACTAAATACAGAACACCAACGGTTGTTAAGGAACGATGAGGGTGAATAATAGATAATTAATGACAAATCGTACGTGACTAATGAAACCAAATTCCCTGAAGCAACTTTTAAGCATGATGATTAACATTTGGTATGCTTAAATTTAATGCGTTGGTGGAGCCACACACACCAAAGCTAATCTAATATAATTACCCTTGCCCCTCCTCCTCCTCCTTCTCTCCATTTCTCACTTGACCAACTGGTGATGATTTGATCCCATGATTGACGATAGAAAAGAAAATTAATCACAATAAGCAATTATCAACTTTAATTTTCTTGCCCGTTTCGTTTCTTGTTGTTATCTACCTTTAGAGTTGAAGGACAATTTTGTATTAGGTATGCGGTAACGTTAGTCGTGAAAATTAGTTGTGGTACAAAAATTAAAGGCCAGCCAGCTGCGAGTGAAAGAGAGAAAAAAAAAGGAAGATGGAAAGTCAGTATTGGGTGATCTTCCCCAAAATAAAAAAACAAACAACTATATTTCACACTTTAATCAAGAGTGACAAAGAAAGAGAGAAGCCACCCAGAAAAATTTAAAATAAAAAACAGAAAAGAAAAGAGAAAAGAAAGCAAAGAGAAGAAGGAAATGTGAAAGAGAGTGCTTGGAATGGCATGATGCAATTTGTCTTTGCTCAGGTCCCACTCAGAGTCGGCTACTTGTTCTCCATCTTCCAAATCATGCATCTACATATTCATCCATCCATCATCATCATCCTCCCATCTTAGATTATCAAATTTAAATTAAAACATATATAGATATATTTAATTAACCTTATTATGCTACTGTTACAACCCTGCACGGCAAATCATACGGCACACATGCACCCTCTTTCTATAATATACACTTAGTTTAATTATCTCGGCAGTACACAATGTTGGATGCTTATTAATACAGTTAATAGGCCAACCACAACCTGTCTCCTTTTGCCTTCCTCATTCATCAACACATCACTCTCTCTTTTTTTCCTGCTTTAAGATATCCCTTTGGTCCACCCCATTTATTGCCTAACCATTGGCCATCTCATTAATTATAATGCCTGCTTCTTCCTTCTTCTGCTTGCGCAATACACATTTCAAAAAGAAAACGAGGGTACATGTAATTCTATGGTCCAACCGAATGGAATCAAAGGAAGAAGAAAGCAGCAGTATTCAAAATGGGTGTGGGTTTTGACAATATTATATGGTTAGCATTAGCCCTGGAATTGTGGAAACCGTTGTCCGGAATCAAAGATCGCAGCATCACAACGTGACGCCGTCGTTTGATTGTCAAGAGGCATTTTGTGTTCACAAACAGTGATGAAATGATGCGTTGGGTTTAGGTAAAGGGAAGCCAATATTTTGTTACATCCGTTTCAAAACAAAACAAAGAGAGAGAAAGAAAGAAAGGAGTTTTAGTAAAATGTGGTTGGCTTGAGGCTTCGTGTACGGGGTTTGAACTTTGAAAGGAAGATCCTCCATCGTTCAGGGTTCAACTATTAATGGATTCTATAATGATGGAGTCAATGCATGAAGGGCCAGGTCAAGCGGCTTGTTTCTTGCCTTCAAAATTAATTTAAAGGTCAGTGATTAGTTTCCTTGACGTGTCCCTTTGAAAGCTCTCTCTCCTTTATCAAAACTTAAACTTGGGGTCTGGGGTTCACATCTATATATGTATATCACAAATTAAACAAACTATATATCATATATCCATCAAATATACCTCTTGAATAAATTTGTTATTTCCTATTCCCTCCTAAATATAAGAATTAACAGAGAGATTTTATCTGATCATGAATATAAGATTATGATTTACTTTATTTTTCAAATGTTTCTCACACATATTAGGGGTATTCATCAAGAAATAATTTGCCTCGCATGTAACTATTGGGGTGCGTCGAGAAAATCAAAAAAGTATTTTTTAATATAGGACCATAAATTAAATTGCAATTAATTTGCGGGCAATTTGAATTTCACGGCAACATTCCAAAAGCTAGTCAGCGGTGATTTTCTTTTTCTTGTGGTGCCCTCTCTCGTTACACCATAAGAGATTAAAGGGACTCCGGGTCGGATCCACGCGTATTGCCTGGCTAGTATAACGACTAATGACTCTTAATTTAAGCTGGTAACCAGCACATATATTCAAAAATTATTATAGTAATTAATTCACCGAGACCGACGCCTTCAAAAGATTAATTAATTGATTAATATCACATTATTATTTCCTTACCAGCCACCAATCGAATAAAAAATTGTCGCCGATTAATGTGCACTGATGCTCGCAGTATTGGGCGCGCGTAATATATATCCCAGCAGCCTATTTTCTTGTGTTAGTTAACTCTTGATAACACCAAGTAAAAGATCAATATTATATTATATTATTGGTCACGTATCGTGTGTTCTAGAAAATAATGAAATCTTTCAGAACATAAATGTCAATTTGCGAAAATAAGGAAAGAAAGCTACAACTCTCTGGTATCAAAGAAAGACAAAAATTTGGCGGGGGGCCTGGGATTGGAGACGTCTCAGAGACAAACTGAACCCAACACTAATGACATGCTTTTTTTTTTTTTTTAAAGAAAAAAAATTCAGATGAAGGCATTTTGATCTTTTTCATATTTTGAAATATAATCCAATTTTTCGATTTCCTTTGAAAATTACCGCGTCATTAATTAATAGTATATATACCAAAACCAAAGGAGGCCTAAATGAATTAGGCATATTTCTTCAACGGAGAGAAAGCAAATATTATTACAATATAAGGAATTAAGGAAGAAAGAGTGATAATGGATGTTGGAGAAGTGTGATGAAGCCAAACGCAATTTGCTTGGTTAGAAGACAAGTTTGTGCAAGACATTTCTTTAATTAGTCCTTATCCAGCCACCCCCGATTTCCTTGACCCACACATTTCCAACCCTAACTTAAATTCCTGTCATTTTCCGTGGTTTTCCTTTTCCTTTTCCTTTCTTTTCCCCCATTCTTTCTTTCCCTTCCCAAATAATTCTTCCATCTTCCCCTTTCATTTCGCTCACATAGGGACGCCCAACTTTATCACTATACCCTCCTCATCACCCGTCAACTCTACCCTCTGTCTAATCCACTCTCTCTCTAGCTATATATATATATATATATATATAAAATATGTATGTATTTGTATATGTAACGTTGTATCGATCAAGTTAGTGTGAATTCTTCGGCTTTCATTCTTTCTTTCGGTGCATTCGCATTTTCGTATACGTGTTTTCTTATCATGATATCACGACTAAGTCAAAACATATACACGCATAGTGACTCTAATTAACTTGTGTCTATCCTACATGTAGTGAACTATATCACCTAAATCAAACCAAACAATACTCATACGTTATATATATAGGCTTTTCCATTAATTTGGATGGGTGAGCACATTCTCCAATATATATACGCGTCACTTTGATTCGTTTTTTTAATTTCAGGAAATCATATAGTGGGAAGGTGGTGGTGGAATCATTTGGTGCCATTAAAAGGAATTATCGTTGCATGCAAGGCACTTAAAATTCAACCCCTCTTTGTCTTTGTATTTAATTGACTCTATTACAAGAAAAAGAAAGGCCCTATAATTTCGTTTGCTGAAAAAGCGATTTTTTTTTTTTTTTGCGATGGATGGTCGACAAGAATACAGATGAAAGGGAAAAAAAACTAGCCACCATATGTGTATCATTTCAAAACCCTCCTAATTTATTAATAATAGGTCACGAGATCATAATAACACGCACCAACCCCGGCCCATGGAACACGATCGATGGTTGTATCGTACGTACAATATATGATCAATCACACCCAGTGACAAAAAAAGGGTAAATATGAGTTGTTGGATTAATTGTCTACAATCTACGTGTATGAAAAGAAGAAAGCGGCAGTATTGTTTAATGATGGATGGTATTTACGGCGAGACAAATGACGAAGGGGAAACCATAAGGAGTGGGAAGAAAGTAAAAGAAAAGAAAAGGACAGATGGTATATGGATTGACCTCGAAAGGGTTGTGTTGTGAAAATGGGTAGAGTTTTATTTAAGGGAGTGTCAGGGGCCAGGATGGTGGATGGGGGAAGGTGGGTGGTGGTGGTGGTGCTATAATTTATGAGTCGCTGTGCCCTGTTTGTACATTGGCTTCTGTTTCTGGTGATTGATGATAATGGCAGTCACAAGAAGGCGCAGTAGAGAGAGAAAGTCTAGAGAGAGAAAGAGACCTCATAGTAATTAAAAAAAAAAAAGAGAGAGCATCTCGTGAGGTGGTAATTAGGAAACAGCATCAAAGTGTGTGGGGAACTGCTGGTGGGTCTCTCTCTCTCTCTCTCTCTCTGGTCTTTCGTATTTGCTGCAAAAGAAAAGAATCAACAAAGCCATATACATATATATATATCAATCTGCAAAATCAAGTGTCACCCACTGCACAACAAGCACAATATTTGATAGTGGACACAACTTTTATTTTACATTGTCCACCCCACTTTTTCAGTCCCCCGTCTTTCTCATATATCCTTCTTGGCCCCATCCTTATATTATGCTTATGCCTCCCCTGTTTCACACTCTTCTTAATTAATTCCTTTGTTTTCTCGATGCCTCA